AAAGCTTAAATTGCTTCTTTTGGTTACACTCCTGGAAATTTTAAGACTTCGTTTCTCTATTTGTTTTTTATTTCCTTTGACGTTTGTAGTACAGATTGTACGAGAAGAGAGCGAAGACAGTTAATGAATACCACACTATATCTGAACCAATTTTACTTATTTTCCATTCTCGATGATTCGGGTGCTTTACAGCACCCATGTCAAACGTCACAATGAATCAAAAATAAGTAACAATAGGTTTTTCAATTTAAACTCTGATGTATAAGAGCGACGCACAGGTTAATGAATAAGTACTTATGATAGAAATTAAAAATTTCATTGTAAATAAAACCAGTCCGTATAGTTTAAAGGTTTTTTTAGTTTTTCTTTGGTCATTTCTGAAAATCAGCGTTGAAGTTTCAACACAACTCATGCTGAGTAATAAGCTTATTGACATGCCTTCGACGTACAAAACCAAATGTATTAAACTTTCGTATTTTGTTAAAAATTGGTATATTTGTTGTGTAGGTCAACACAACAAATATACTAATTTATAACAAAATTTCTATGACAAAAAGTGTTATTTTCTTTCTTAATGTTCGACAAATATGAATTACGACTTTGACACACTGTCGACCACGATATCTTGTATCTACAGGTTTGTTCATATAAAACAATACTAGAATAATTCGACATTGATGTTGGTCAATATAAAATATTAAACTGGGATTCACATTGGAAGTTCCACATAACATTTGTTGTTAAAATATTTTGTGGTTGCAGTATTTTCGACATTTCCCAATGGATTGGTACCGAAGCAAAGTTTACTAGAATAATAAATCGGTTTTGGAAAGTTGGGCCAGACAGTATAATGTTTTATTCACTGTATTACCTTCAAGCTTTATTAAACTTTTGTTACAGGTGTGTTGGCTTATTATATAGTTTTGAACTAAAAATAAAATCTGTATTTATAAAAATAATATACAATAGTTGTTTTAACTGTTAGTCTATGGGGGAGGCCTATGATCAGCAGTGGACTTTAATAGGCTGTAACGGTAACGGTTAGTGATCGTGATACCTTTGAATGATTTGATCGATTACCGTTGTTTTTCTAGCTGACTGCCCCAGAAGGAAGGTATGGGTTTTCGAGTGTATGTATGCATGTCTATTTCTTTGTCACACTACGCAGCCTAAACGGCTTCATGGATATTAACGTATGGATTGTCGTTATATTCGTCTTAGTTGTGAAAGTGACATTAGATATAAAATTTTAACTCGACATAATTATATATTATATGTACGTTGAGAATAGTGGTCATCGATTTAAAGTCCTAGACAAAACAACTCATCTCCTTCTCACACCTTGCAATATTGGCGACCCTGCCAGGATGCATCTACATTGTGAAAAGTGTATTCCTTTCAACATAATTATATATTAGGGTAAGTTAAGAAAAGTAGTAGTCCAAATAAATTCCTAGATAGAACAACATGTCTCCTTCTCATTGGCACCTTCCAACATTGGCGACCACGCCAGGATGCAACTAAGTTGTGAAAAAAATAAATAAAAGAAAATATGTAAACGTATGTACACGATTAGTATTAATAGACTGTGACAAAACTATGTACAAAATTGTGACTTTGACCTTAATATGGGACAGAATAGAATAGAATAGAATAATTTTTATTCAATAATGATTACAAGTTACGACCTACTCATAGAATACATTGAAATTGCATTTTGTAATTTATATTCTTTTGAGACATAATATTTTAATAAGCTTATAAAAAAAACAAATGAATTTTTTTTTGTCGGTGGGAGGTGTACTATTGTATTCCATTCGACATAATTATATATTAGGGTTAAGTTAAGAGTAGTGGTAGTCCAATTAAAGACCTGGAAAGAACGTCTCTTTCTCATTACCTCCAACATTACACTCTTTTCAGTGAACATTTTTACACAATGAGATTTTTTATTTTGTAACTAACCATTGGGCTTGTCAGTCGAGATATTGATTCAAAGCTAGGCTAGAACCGAATAGGTGGCGCTGTCGTCATTCCATATTTATGAACCAATGACTCATATTCATATTATGTTAGTTGAGCAATCACAAAAAGAAAATCACAAATCTGGACTAGGTGGCGCTGTGATCGAGTTATTATTCAAATTCAAAGTCGAAATCAAATTTTCAAGCATTTTCAAAGTCAAAGTTACGCAATCAAAATTAATTTATCATCTTGCTTATAGTAATCTTTTTAATAAAAATGCTTGTCATATGCGCTATAAATTTATGCAAAGACAAAACAATAACATCGCATGTAATCTTGTTATAAATAGTTTTATACGTCTACCCAAAAAAGAGCCGATAGTTTTACGAAACCTTAACTATATGTTATATTTATACCGTAAATAGTCCTGAGTGAATTCGTACTGAAATTCAATACGCCAGAAACCGAAAAGGGCAGATTAATGTTTACCAAGCCAGCTAGTAAAATAAAATGACAATCTCCAGACCGAATATCGACCACGGCATCCAGTCTCAACGGAGACTAGCAATTTGCGCAAGACACGATTATAGTGCATGAGTGTGTTCGCAAACACAGGCGCAATCTTTAATCACTCCCCACAAGAAGGAATCCCACATGACTGGGGAGGACAGATCCGACGCAAACAACGCAGGACCAACGGTTTTAAACGAGTTTTCCGATGCAAGGAGTAAAAACCTCCCAACTTTCTGACTCCGGGTTGCTACTGAGAATTTTTTGACAAAAAAGCCCAATAACTGATTTTGGCCTGAACGATGGGCATTAAGGGACTGAGTTGACGTAAACCTTGAATTCGCCTAGTTTTTTTTTATAGGAATAAGATGACAAACGAGCACACAGTCCACTTGATGGTAAGTGGTTGCTGTGGCCCATAGACATCTACATCCATCTTCGATTACGGTCACCCGTGAGGACTAAGATGGAATGCCTCGTTTCCAGTAAAAAGGGTCTCTAGTTTTCTACAATCACCATGCGAAACACAGCAGCGTTAAGCTGCTATTTTACGCTGGTATTCTGTGGGAGCATGGTTCTTCCCGGGTCGAGTCGACCCGTTCGTGATACAACCATAATATAGCTGCAGCATGGCTCTACCACGTACAAAATTTTTCAAGTAAAAAAACGTTTTTAATTGTAAAATTTTGGTCAAGGCATTGGAGTAAAACTTCCTACGTGTGCTCCTCAAGACCCCACGGACCTAAAATCTCGTAGTAAAGCAAATATCACTATGATCTACGTCATAATCATCACATTTTTTCTCATATACTCGCATATGTAATTAAAATTACGCTGAAGCCTGACTCGCACTAGTTCAATGTTATTATCGATTCAGCGGACCCAAGGGCTTCTGACATTTCGCGCAACCCACTTCAGTCTAATAGCTCTTCACACGTAAGTATGCGAAAGTGTTTGAGCTGTAATATTAAAGCATCTACTTACTGATTCATTGTAAGCGTGCATATTTTATTAAAGAGCTATTATTATAGTGTGTTTAACTTTTCTTATACTTTAGTGACGTAATAAATAAACAAGCTAATAATCAATAAGAGTTTATAAATGTCCCTAAAATATAATTACAACTTTCTATGAATATATTAGTCGTTCGTATAAGATAACAAACTATGACTGTCCCTCAAAAGTGGCATTTTTTTTTCAAACATTAAAAAAACATTTTTTCCGATGTCCACGTGGCATTAGTCAAATAACAAAACATAATTTTGTATATAGCCATCCCGCTTGATTTGTATGACTTGTTTTATTGTTATCTGGGGTAGTTTACTCATCTGGTTGGGCTGTATAAATATATAAATAAAATTGATAGATATACAGAAATATATATTGATATAGTAAAATAAATAAAAAATACATAAATAAACAAAAACCCAACCAGATTTAAGCCTTCTGCAGGAGAGACTAATCGGCTGTGGGTTAAGGAGAAAGGGCAAGAAACCGGTGGTCGAGTCGATGAGGTCGATCGAGGAGCACCGCTTTCTGTAGTTTGAATTGTACATGGCCATCCCGTGTTGGCGTCAAATAATTCATCATCCTATTCTGTCCCATGGATGCTGTAGATTTGGATTTGAAAGGCGATTATCGATACTTCCGATAGATGCCATTTTAACCATTTCATTTAGTTCAGACATAAAATACTCATACCGATGATGAGCAACAGCGTCTAAGGTGCAAGACGTTTGGTACTGCAATCATCAATTCGCTTGCATGCATGAAAAATTAGACAAAACCTACTTAAACTGATAGGGGCCCACTTTTATGGGCTGATGAAAAAGAAGGAGAATTTTTATGATAATCCACTGTGAAAGATGTAAATGACAATATTCTTGTCTAATTATAACATACTTCTTATATAATGGAGTAAGATATAGCAATTAACTCTTTATGTATAGCACTTTTGTTTTTGCTTGATACTGAACTTGACCTAGAAAACATATACACAGCAGTTTGCGTCGTAGCTGCCGATGTTTTAATTAAAACAGAGCGTGCTTTATGACGTAGTCTCGTTTCATTCAGTGCAGATTTTTATTTTTATTTTGAACGAGGCAAATATGGCGATGATTTTTTATATATGTAAAACAAACTAATAACTGACCATCAAATGAGGGTAGTAGTAGGTGGCACACTGATGACGTATATATTTTGTATTCTTAATTTGTTTTACGTAGCAGAACGATGATGCAGCCTATTATGGCTGTAGCATATATGGTTTGGCCACCAGCCTACAACATCAGCTGAATGTAGCTGTGTCTCGCGTGAGAACCGGAGTCCTCACGGGTGACAATTCATGAGGGTGCAATGCCTCGTATTCAGTAAAAATTCACATTCTATCAAATGGACAGTATGCTTGATAGTCACAATTAAATCTGAATCCATTTATTTTACTTAAGTCGGTTCAGCATTATTTAAATACAGAACACTACTATATTTAATCCAAATATATTTCTTTTCCTTGTTTTCAGAGTTTGATGGCGTTTATCAAGTTTGGCTACATGCTCGTAGTCGTCACTTTGCTGTTGATGATATGGGCTTCTTTGGCGAGAGCATTAGAAGTAAGTTTACATTTGCAATTTATTTACACATATATTAAATAAATAATAAATTTACACATTATATCAAATACAAAACTATTTTTTTGGAAAGCTTACAAAATCGACTACTAATTATAGACGTATTCAGGTTAAACATAATTTATTTGAACTATTACCATAGACATATTTTATTGTCATTTGTTTAAAAATATATAACGTATACACAAATACGAGTATTAAATAAATAGTTAATTTATATTGTTGTATTGTAAAGCTTTTTAAAGAATAAAGTATTATTGACCAATAAGCATAAAAAGTTCCCATAGCTGAACGATGTTAAATAATGTTTACAAACGAATAATATCTCTCAAATTTTGTTGAGTTTCAACTTTTACGTATCATGGCATCTGAGACACAAATAAAATAAGTTTATTTTAGATATATTCAAATTTTTAAACAGTAAACTGACGCTGACAAACTGAAGCTGAAGGCTCGTGGAATGCTGCTTAACCCGTCTATTGATACACGAAAACATGAAGAGACTATATCTGCCTCTTATAGCTCTGCTAATATGTTGCCGTCGATCTAAGTGTTATTCCGGAACTCTTAAGGTATTTAGTCAAGTGTGGATGAATCGTACAGTTAGTGTTGTCACTTGTAATATGTGGTTATCGGTCGATCATTGTCTCATTTTTATCGGATCTCATTACGAAGAGCTAGCACATAATTATGTTCGTGAGCTGCCATTCGATTCATTTTATTAACATCAATTCATATGGCATATAGTTTTCGTATTAACAAACTATTTGATCGTAAAGTTTAGTGTTTACATCACGTGATTACTAACAAGTAATTTTGCTGAAGAAATTACTACTTTTAACAGCTTATTATGTTTTGATAGTAGGTATGAAATGGTGGGGGTTTGGTGATGGGCAAATTTATACTTTATAAAACCTACTTTGAGATTATAACAATAAACAATATGGCTTGATTACAACTAAAGAAAGAAAGAACCACTTACTTGACATAAAATATTAAATCAGCTATAAAAATATGCACGCACAAATAAAAAGCAGTGGAATAAAAAACTAGACCGTAAGTTGTGTGTATTATAAAAAAAAAATTAAAAAAAATCAAAAGTGACACTAAATACAACCGTATCTATAATATATATAAAACATATTACATGACATCATAGTCTTGGTACTCAAACATCATAAAATTTATATGCTTTTAATGATTAAAAAATAATTGAATCTTGAAAAGTAAAGACAATACAATATAACACGGAGAAGCACTGGCTTATAATACTTTAAACTTTATTTCTAATATCATTTAAATTTACATGCTTGATCACTTTTTTACTATTAAATATTTTGAGTCAAAAATAACTTCACGTCTGTGTTTGGCTAGCTGTATTTTATACCGCCATATAATGGCGGCAAAAGAGAATTTAGTGGATTTTCTTATGCCCATATCATCCCCATGTCATCACGTAGGTGTCGTTATAGGTGATATAGGGAAACTGAAACAGCTGATAGGCAGCAGCAGCTGTTTGATAATTACTCAAAATAATAAAAGGCTATGATTAACAACTTGCTTGCCGAGCGTGGCAACTATGGCAACCTAAGGAGGAGGCCTACGTTCAGCAGTGCACTTTGATATGCTGCGATGACAATGATAATGACAAATTTTTCAAGGTTATTCCTAAGTATTAATTTTTGTTGCAATTTGCAACGGAACTCCAAAAACACAGAATTCCATTTCAACATTTCATTGGAAGCTTTCTTTCGTCAGGTGTGTTTATATTTTACTCTATTAATAAACTGGCCTTGACATGGTGCTTGATTTTTCTGTGAAAACTCATGAAAAGTATCGTAGAGCCTTCGACATTCTGATATCATCAAACAACTAGCGCTTTAAGCGCGTTTTGTTTATTTTAATGATACATATTAATAAATATCGTTCCTAAATATTTTTTTATTATTTATTTTTGAGACGAGTATTATAAGGTAATACTATATTATGTACTTATATATTAAATATAACAAATTTATTAAACATCATACATGATGGCTGATATAATAACGTCCTCCAAACTGAATGTCGGTTACGGTTGCCAGTCTCAACGTAGGCTAACCATCTGCACAGGACAGCTGCGAAGCGTAGTTGCATTCCTTTGCATTTTTTTTTGCATTTACCACGGGGAGTGCTCTAAGGAATTGTTCGGACTAATCCCAGCCGCCAAATTTCACGAACGCACATCGCGGCGGAACTCCTGATACCATCCACACTATCTGGATGCTTGGCGGTCCACCACTGTACGTTTCACTAGGAGTTTTCTTCCGCCTACGGCCTCTCAGTGGAATAATTTTCCACCGGCGATTATTCCGGACCGATATGACTTAGAGATCTTTAAGAAAAGAGCTTAATCCTTTTTAAAAGGCCGGCAACGCACCTGCAATTCCCTTGGTGTTGCAGTTACCATCAGGTGAGCCATATGCTGGTTTGCCCCCTCTCCTATAAAAAAAGGACAGGATTAGTACACGAGTGTGTGCAAAAGCTCAGGTGAATTCTCTATACCCTCACTCCAGTTGTTCGATGGGATGGCAATCTGATATGGCCGGAGAGAGATCAGGCGCAAGACCAATTTTCTTGGCTTTACAAGGCTTTACACGCACGAGGGTGAAACACCGCCAACTTCCTGACTACGGGGATTGCTATAGGGAATTTCTGAACAGAAAATCCAATAACTGATTTCGGCTTGACGCGGGATTTGAACCTCGAACCAGATGATCGGCAGTCGCAATTACTACCATTAGACCAACGTTTAAATTCAACATTGATTCGCGTAAAGACAGAGCGGCGGTTTCTTTGCTGTTCTAACCCCTCTCAGAAATGCAAAGAGGCATGTGCCCAGGTATGGCATGGCTACTTTATCCAATATAAATAATAATTATGAAAGTTATTTGAGCTTTTATCACTGGTTCGAAAGAATACCTTTAACACCTGGGAAGAATCAGCAAATCATTTGTTACGTGGTGCAAGAATAACCAGTGACAGATTTCTTGATTGTTCTGGTTGCTACATTAAAAATAGACGACCTTTATATTCGAATAATTAACTATAATTAACACCTTCACATAAAGAGGATATGTTTATCCGAATAATTTACAAAGTACTTTTCATAGTAACAAACAAAAGGATGAAGCGTTGGTAAATATACACTTAAAATTTACTGGCATTTAACTCCGAAACGTTATTACTGAAATTAAAAGACGTGCTCATACCGGTATACGTTTGTTAGTGTACGCAGTTCTCTTTATTACATTGAACAGGGTTGCCAACATATTACAATAAATTTGTATAGACGATACCATATTAATCTTCAGAGGCGTATCGAGCATTGTTTTCTAGGGGTTAGCCGCGATACCTTTTTACATTGTTAACCGCAATTTTAAGTTCTGGTTTACCACCTGCTTAGGTTTCGGGAGCAGCGCGGTAGACTCAAAACCCACTCAGAAATGAATGACATTGTAATGTAGTAATAGGGCACATAATATGAAGGGCGGTAACTAAATGTATACTAAATTTATAGAGAGAGAAGGCGCTCGAGTGTAGTTGACGGTTACTGGCACTATGGGGGAAATTATTCCTGGGCTTATTCCTAACTTCCCCTATAGGGTGCACAAATGCATCTTGAAATACATCAGTCATCATATTCCTTTTCAGAACATAACAATAACGTGACTTATCCTTTAGCATATACATAGTAATACCTTTATTTCTGTACGTGGTAGAGCCATGCTGCAGCTATATTATGGTTGTAGCACGAATGGGTCGGCTCGACCGGGGAAGGACCACGCTCTCACAGAATACCAGCGTAAAATAGCAGTTTAACACTGCTGTTTTTAGTATGGTGAGTGTAGAGAATCGGAGACCCTTTTTACTGGAAAAGAATTATTCTATCTTAGTCCTCACTACTATTAATACAGCTGCAGCATTGCCCTACCACGTACCAGGTAGCGATGAGTGACATACCAACTTATTTGAGACAATAAAAATACAAAATAATTATTCGTTTGTTTATATTCATCTAACAACGGTTTGCTAGGTGGTATGACTTCTTTTCTATCTAGGATTCTGGAAAGGTACCACCCTTTTACCGACTGCCGTCAAATAGTAGTGCTTACAGTACTGTGTTCCAGTCTGAAGGGTATAGAGTGTCAGTTTAATTACAGACTGTATGGATTCCATCTTAGTCCTCAGAGGTGACAACGCATCATTAGCCTTCTTTCTTTGAAGTTGGTGTCAGGTGTCCATCGACTGCAGTTAGGCATGCCAGATCGAAAGATCAAAATATCTGGACAAACTTTGAAAATGTCCGAATTTTAGGATCGGGAGAAATAAATATTAAAAATAAAAATGTGTTAAAAATAAAAAGGTAATTTTTAAATTAATAGTCTACAAAAAGATTTAACACATAACTAATTTAAGTACACTAAATTTTGAGGTTGCTTTATGTATTTGGCATTGGACTTTACTAAGTTCACTAATTTGGATCCTTTAATAAATATTCTGAAAAGATTTAAAATTCAAACAATTTACTGAAAGGCTCAGTTCCAATTCAGCTTTTATTAAATCAAAGGCAGCTATGACCTGAAGAGAAGCTGTTTGTCTGAAGATTTTGAATTTTGTCGGGAGTCTGGAGATCATTTAAAATGTCGAGAGATTCCAGATGAATCCCGACCATCTGGCAACCCTAAATGCAGTAGTCACTTACCATAAGGTAAACTGTTAGTTCATACAAATAAAGTAAATAAGCATCGTGTAACGTAATACCAATACATTATTTGAAAACATTCGCAGCGTAAGAAAATCCACATACATTATAATATTTCGTAGGTGCTGTAAGAGGCGACAGAGAGAAACTAAAACTTGTGATAAGCAGCATCTTCCCGATAACAACACAAACTATTAAAAAACTGCAGTGCCTACCCTGCAACTGCGGTGATGCTCGT